ATATATATATATATATAATAGATTAGATCGATTAGAATAAGGTACGATTCACACATAATCAACTACTTTTTTTTAAAGATTTTTGGAGATGACAAATGATTAACAATCAAATCTTGCACCCTATTAATATTCCTTTTACATTGATTACATTTTTTTTCTTCTACTTTTTAACAATTTTAAAATAAGATATTTTTCAAAATTTATTGATTATTATTGTTCTAAAATATAAAACAATGAGTAACATAATTTATTCTGATTTAAAATATTTTTAGAATACAATTAATAAGTATTTTGTGTAAAAAAATTATAATTAATATAGCCAAATTTTATTATAAATTCATGATTTTTCTTTTGCAAGTGAATCTAATTATTAATATTTATGATTTATATATTTTAAAAAATATTTAATACTTTTTATAATTTTTTTTTATTTAGCCCCTTACTTATAACCTGCCCCGTCCCTTCACGTATATAAAAATGATGTGTTCGATTATCACTGTGAGAGTTTTTTTTAATCAGCAGTAGACACAGTACAACAAACAGTATTAGTCTCTATCTTAGTGAATTAAAGAATATATGTGGTAGGAGATATTTTTTTTTTTAATTATAATATCAGCTCATAAAGTCAAGATGAGGAGTAGAAACTTTTCAACATAATCTTGAATCCTATAACAATTGATTGCACATATATGCGAGGGTATTGGATGATTCCATGCCTCGCCAACGACTATAATAACAAAATGGCACAGATGTTCATAGTATCTAATTCTATAAACGCAATTAATAAAAAAGTAAACACCAAATTAATATATAAGTTTAAAGCAGATCTTATTATCTTTTTTAATGTTATTTTAATAAGATAATAATTAGTTTATTCAGCTAGCTGTACCATGCAACCAATAGTTTAAAGAGAGCACCAATTGTTAAATGGGCATAGCCACATCTAATTGGCACTTGGGAAAGGTCTCAACTAGAAGAGAAAGAAGAGGAGAAAAAAATGGAGGAAGCACTTGAGACGATGAAGAACAAAGGTCAAATTTCTTCTTCTCCTGCAACATACTGTGTAACTGGAGGCACAGGTTATATTGGTTCATGGCTTGTGGAGACTCTTCTTGAAAGAGGTTACACTGTTCATGCCACTGTTAGAGATCCTGGTTAGTAACCCTTTTAATTGTTAACTA